ATATATATATATATATATATATATGTATTAGCTGTTTGAAACTACTTACTCTTGTCCTGATGGCAGAAAGTTTGCCAGTTAGAGGTTCGAGTAGCAGCCACCTCAGTACAGGCCTTCAGGTGGTCCATCTGGGAAGGAAGGCACGAAAGACAGTGATTGATACGTCCTCCATATGCATGAAATAATAAAAATTTTAGAAACTTGGATTTGATCAATCATTTTGCTGTTGTCAAACAATCTTTTTTGTATATAGTACAATTGTTTATCACAATCTTATTCATTACAGTCATGTTCCTTTACAATGATACGAATTTGTCATGATCCTACATTCAAAGATTGAACACCAGAGTGACTTTGTGAGTGAGTCAGGAAACAAGAGTGCCCAAATAAGCCAACACTGTCTGGAAGGCAATTTTGGGACTTCTTTGAGGCAAAAATCAAGCGAAGTCATATTGGTCATAACAGTGACTTATTTTAATTAACAGGCAGCAGCATCTTACCATTACAATGAGTTTGTCATAAGGAAGGCTGATAACTGCTGTCTGTAGACCGTTCTTCTTGAAACCTCCTTCTTCACAAAGTTCCCTATAAAAATCAGAGAATAATGAACATAGTAACTTAAAGATATACATTGTAAACCATGTCATAACATTGTAACTAATGTGCCTGGATTTTCAGTCTACTCTTAGACTAACGATTTTCAAATTTCAACATTTTTCAAAAAGAATCTGAGAGTTTGTTACTTTTTACTTAAGCTATGATTGTTCTTTAAAATCTCAAACATAAAAAACAGTACTTTATAATGAGAACTGTTTAATAATCAATCAATCAATCAATCAATCAGACAGTCAACAATTAAATCAATCTGCCTCCTTGCTCTGATGCAGATCCTGGACATATAATGTACATGTTTAAAATGTTTCATAAAATAGTCGCTTTCAAAAGAGAGAAGGAATCCTTAAGACCAGGATTAGATAAAAATGTATTTTCTAGTTACAACTGTAGTTCCTAGACTTAAACCTTATTTGTTTATCGTTCTATCCTAAATGTATGTACTATGTTACTCAGTTGTATGATATACAGTCATGTAACATCACATATAGCCCCATGGGCATTTTCATGCATTAATAAAGATTCATTGATAAAAAAATCTGAGTTCAAATCAGGAACTTAATAATTCTATTTATTTAAAAGCATAAGTTCCAGACTTACAACCATTTAATATGTGTTACTTACTTGACTTGGCCCATGTGAGACTGTAGAGCATGCAGGTCTCGCAGCTGACGGTATTTCTCCTTAGAACCACACAGGTACAGCATGAGCTGCAAAACACAGCACACACAGTCAACACTAACTAATAATTATTGTACAAAAAGTCAATGCAAATATCATTTTTACAACCATTATGACAACAAGCAGCAATTTAATTCCAGAAAACCAAATTCCATAATATTAACTCTTTAATTATATATTTTTAATGAGTACATGGCACTTGTTACTCACTTTCCTGACTTGCCTCCTGATGAAGGTTGTATGTTGTGTCAGCATATACTGTAGAAAAAACAAAGTTATCATATAGTCTGGAGGGCTACATGGCAAGTGTCAAGATATTTGACTGAATTCTGTCAACATGGTAAATTTGGCTCAGATATTCAGACAATGTTTTTTACTTTGTGTGCCCTTAAGATGACTTCTCAAATGAACAGTGTGTGTGTGTGTGTGTGTGTGTGTGTGTATGTGTGTGTGTGTGCGTGCATGCGTGTGCATGTGTGTGTGTGCATGTGTGTGTGTGTGTGCATGTGTGTGTGTGCTTGTGCTTGCGTGTGTGTATGTGTATGACTTGCGCGTGCCTGCGCGAGTTTAGTGAATTTGTACTGAACATGTAAAGTAGGAACCGTTGTCACCTCTGACAGCACATGAAACCAGTCCTGCTGGAACACAGGAGAGGTCACACTGGGGCACAGATCTGCCACCTTCTTAATCTGAAACACACCAAGGGACATGACATTGTTATACATCGTGCTGCCATATGCTGCCATAACCTTTCTTATCATCAAAACTTTTAAATTAGTAACAAATTGATTAATATCTTTAAACAGTCTCCTGACCTCATTGTCCACATACATTGTATAAATATGTAAATAGGCATGGTGTAACAGTTTAAAAACAAAGTTAAACACAATCATCTCAAAAGAAAAAGAACTCATATCCACTGTCATTAGGTCATTCCTGCAGAATTTCCAGCAACATTTCCTGCAGGAATGAAATTTCTGCAGGACATTTCTGCAGAAAAACGTATTCCTTCAGGAATTCCTGCAGGAATGTACATTGTACAATCATGATGCATGGTGGATTTTTACAGGTTAAAGGTGTGGCTCTTTGATTGGGGACTTTTAAGCTTTAAAAAGCTTAACCAAAGGCCCCAGGTTGTGTTCACATTCCAGTAAACTGGGATTCAGATGAGGGAAATCAGAGAAAGTCTTGGAAAAGCCTGATGTACCTGACATGGCAGCCGTAGCACCATTTCTGTCAACAGCTGGGGATAGGCTTCAAATACATCTTGTGCATGGCCCTGGAAATATAATACATGAGCAGTCACCTTTCATTTATACAACTAACAGTTGCTGTACCATCTATAAAGTTAAGAGTAATAATTTATGATTATAGAGTCTGACATACATGTACATGACATTGTATTTTATGACTGAGATTAGTTGAAAGCACATGACAAACACGACTATATGGGACAGACCAATATATTTATTGAAAACATACATTGAATACAGCAGTAATGTAAGGATACCAGTTGATGGTTAAGAGTGTTTTGTTCAAAGGAACGGTCCAGAAGCAGAAGTACAATTATTGCATACATGTATAATAGGTACATGTAATGTATTTTAATACATTGTATGTATTAAGTCTTTAATATCTTTGCGAATGACTACCAACAACAATGATGGAAAGTAGACTTTCAGTTGGACAAACAGAGTGCACCTCAAAGTTTACATTTACATGAGCCAGCTGAGATTTTCACAGTACATGTACAAATGTACCTTACCTTCACATACTGCCTTAGGAAGAAGGGGGACATGTCGGGGGGTGACATGGACTGGTGCGGCTTCAGTAAGTTACTGACCACTGTGGCTTGTGATTCCTGCAGCATACAACATTATACACAGTCATTTAAATTTTAATTTTAAACTACACGAAACAAGATATGGGTACTCAGTAACTTAGTTGCAGAAACTTTGTCATACACTATGGCTTACATTGTACAAACTGTACATATAGGGGCAAACACTTGGTCATTCTACTCTGTCACAGTGGTACTCATTTACAATCTCAACAAATAACGTGTAGATATAGAATACTATCAGCATCCAATTGTTTGGGGTATGTGTGGTGTAGATATAATACATACAGATCCATACTGTCCGTGGACATACATGTAATACATGCCCTAAGTTTGGATGTGCCCTAAGTTCGGACGGATTTTTTACTGATCTTATTAATATGCAGAAGTACGCCATGTTTGTTGCCACTGACTTTGCTAATTAAAAAGGCAAATAATCATAGTCAATGCATAGCTGTTATTTGCATGCAAATTATAGTTCTATATACTAGTTTTGTAGTTTTATTGTTTTGTCGAAAATCTGAATTTCACCAATAATAATGATGGCGCTGAGAAGAGGGTCACTTGGTAGCGGCGGCTCGTGCTCAGAAAAATACCACCTTTGCCAAGCAGTCACACAACTGCTACATACATGCAAACATAAAGCCTTACAAAACAGTAGAAACATGATTCCCATGAAGCCGCATTGATTGCGTAAGCCAGGTTTTCAGTCAAAACACTGACTGTGTTCGATACAAGCTTCCTTACGCAAGACGAGAAGTATACAATTTTACCATCAAAAGGAAGCTGAACTAGAGTTCCACGATCTCATACCTTCGCCAAATGAGGTTAGCCTTTATGGCTAAGAAATTATAGATTAATTACTGATTGTGCAAATAGGATCCTATATTGCATCAATTATATCTGTAGATCATATTCTACACCAGAAGACAGTCTTATCTTATCAAAGAATGCCATTATAGTATTTCCTCATAAATTATGCAAATGAGGTCCTTATTTGAATAAGTTATGTTTAATTATGTTCACCTTTACATAACTTTCAAATATCCCAAGTATGAAATTCCAGGCAGTTACCACTATGTAATTATAACATTTTCTCATTAATTATGCAAATTAAGTCCTCATTTGCATAATTGATATCTACCTGTATTTCTGCCGTTCTCAATTATGTATGACACATGCTTGAATAGTCCTATCATGGAATGCAGCTGATTAATAGACTTTCCTCATTAATATTTTACATTAATATTTGCATAATTGTAATATCATTATGTCAAGCATCACTTCAGCTACCTACATGCCAAAATCACGACGATCCATCCACCGGTTCTTGAGTTATCAGCCTTTAAACATTTTTCAACTAACGCCCCTGCAGTTCCAGAGCAAGCAGCTAGGGGGCCCAAACGCACGTCACTTCTTCCCCAGCACGAGAGCTACCTACCATGCAAATTTCGTCACCCTAGCATGTCTGGATCATGAGATATCCAACAGACATGAGCCTACCTGTTCCCTCAGATTGTGTCCAACAGACATGTGCCTACCTGTTCCCTCAGACTGTCTGTCCAACAGACATGTGCCTACCTATTCCCTCAGACTGTCTGACCAACAGACATGTGCTTACCTGTTCCCTCAGACTGTCTGTCCAACAGACATGTGCCTACCTACATGTATTCCCTCAGACTGTCTGACCAACAGACATGTGCCTACCTGTTCCCTCTGACTGTCTGCCCAACAGACATGTGCCTACCTGTTCCCTCAGACTGTCTGCCCAACAGACATGTGCCTAGTACCTGTTCCCTCAGACTGTCTGCCAAACAGACATGTGCCTACCTGTTCCCTCAGACTGTCTGTCCAATACTTGTGCAGCTCCTTCAGGCACAGCAGACAGTAATCCAACAGTCCGGCGGACAGCACCACACCTGCTGTGTGCTGAGACAGCTCAGAAGAACTCTGTGAACAGTTTGAGATGAATAATAATTATAGGTCTATTAAATATTACATACAGTACATTTAACAAACACACTAAAAAGCACATACATGTACGATAATACATGCTAAAACCATCCTAGAAGACTACTAAGTACTAAGCTCACTATTAAAAATCACAGAGTCTGACATTCTGATAAAGTAGTGTTCATGAAGCCAGCTGTGCGATATTTGAACTAAGATTTACATTGTACAGTAAGTAACACATCATTCTTACCGGGTACTAAACTAGTTTTGGCCCCTCATTGTGTATTGGTTTTGTCCTCAAAATATGTAAAAATAAACTATAACTTTTGTTTTGTTAAATATATGTCCTGTTCTTCCTTTCTATACTAAGAACCAAACAATGGTTGTTGAAGCATCACTACTTGCTTTACAGTAAGTTGTTACAGTTGCTTCTTTGCCTTTATTTACCTGCAGGAAGTACAAACTGTACAATGTAGTTAAGCTGAAACTGGGCCAATAGAATACATGCAGCAGAGTCCTGCAGCTTGTGCCAGCTGCAGCTGTTCTTACCTCGGTGTGTGTTTTGGACAGTATCTTTGTGCGAGACATGAAGACACTCAACAGTCTCATGATGACCAGCTGGACTTCATGCTCCTTACTTCTCTCTGCCATTCTGGCCACATCCTGCAAGACATTGATCCAACACATCACAATGAATGGACCAGACTCACCCACATGAAAACTTTGTCTAACTTCATACCAACAGGAAAACAACTTCATATTTCAGAAAAACAGTCATTGATCAAGAAAAAGTCAAAGTTCAAAAGGTCTTCTCTTAGAACAGAGCAACGCATATTGACAGATGTACACTCTTCATGCATGCACACACACATCCACGTACGCACACAGTCCCCAAAGGTCATTGAAGTCTTTTGTGTCACTGCATGCTTGTTGTAAGTTCTTTTCTTGTTGTGGGCTTGATACACCCTATCCTATTCCACAAACTAGGGCAGAAATATTGTTCTTGGGGTAAACAAGGATGTACTAACTTGTGTGGGGATGTCCAACTGTTGGAGTAAACATGACAGCAGGTTGTTGAGTGTTGCAGAGTCCCTCATGTCACTGCAGTCCAGGTCAGAGCTCAACATAAGAACCACCTGTAGTCATTCATAGAAAGTTAGTAATGATAGAAAATTAGTTGTTACAGTACAATTAAGGTGATTACCATAGATTCTTTTTTATATCATACATTCATTCATGTATTGTTATCACAGGAAAAAAAGAAGTCAGTGTTTTGGGTTTTTGTGAATATAATATATTGGAACTGTAAAGAGGATATCATAGTATGATATGATGTAATCAGTATGACAACACTAAATTCTTGCACAACAAGAATTCGGAGACCTCATACCTACGTCTAAAATTTGTCTTCTTTGCTTCATTTCAACATGTCCTCATTAATCATGCAAATGACCTCTACATTAACATAATATATGCATAGTGGTGTTAACCTTTAAGTAACTTACACATGTCACAAGGTATAAAATTCCAATCATTCACCAATAGGGAGTCACAGAATTTTCACATAATTTATGCAAATTATGTCATCATCTGCATAATTGGTATCTGTTGATGTTCTGCCAGCCACAGATTAAATAGATTACATGTATACAGTATAGCAGTATATAAAACACTGCAATTATAGAATTTCCTAATTAATTATGCAAATTAAGTCCTTATTTGCATAATTTGCATTTAATTATGTACATCTCTCTCTCAGCTACCTACATACCAAAAATGATAAAAATACGTTGTTCCTATCTGGACTTATTGGCTTTTAAAGATTTCGCGTGAAGGTCCCCTGCAGTTCCAGAACAAGCTGCTAGGGGGACCAAACCCACGCCACTTATTCCTGACAGGAAAAGCTATCTGTCACCAAAAAGTTCAGGATGTTCAGGACAGAAGATACAAAAAAACGGAAGTTCTGCTGCAGTACCAAGGTCATCCACCAGGAGGCCCATATTTGACCTTGCCTCGTCTTCCTAAGACTTACCAGCATACCAAATATCATCACAATCCATAAAGGCGTTATGAAGTTATGCTGACCACAAATGCACACACACACACACAGATGCACCAAAAACAATTACCTCCATTTTTCAAGGAGGTAATTATTACACTGACATGCTCCAACAAGGCACATGCTAGGTCACCTTCAACCGTGACTAATATATCTACATTGTATAGAGTTAGTCAACTGTCAAAACCACCTCCCACTCAGTGTCAAAACCACCTCCCACTCAGTGTCAAAACCACCTCCCACTCAGTGTCAAAACCACCTCCCACTCAGTGTCAAAACCACCTCCCACTCAGTGTCAAAACCACCTCCCACTCAGTGTCAAAACCACCTCCCATTTAGTTTCACCCAAATATACACTCAATTCCAACAAGTTCAATGCATTACAATGCAAATATTTGAAAGAACAATTGAAGTTCCTGTTTAACCTCCTTTTACTTCCATTGACTCCATTGTTGCCAGATGTACCCCACTTACAAATGTAGGCTTGTGACTGACCTGCAGGAATGGGATGGCTCTGGTCCCACCGACCTCCCTCAGTCTGGGGATGTCCTTCATCAGCATCTCCAGTAGAGCCCTGCGCAGGGACTGGAGTCTACAGAAATACAACACAACTTAGCAATATCAACACTTCAACAATGCTCAAGTAGAGCCCTGCGCAGGGACTGGAGTCTACAGAAATACAACACAACTTAGCAACATCAACACTTCAACAATGCTCAAGTAGAGCCCTGCGCAGGGACTGGAGTCTACAGAAATACAACAAAACTTAGCAATATCAACACTTCAACAATGCTCCAGTAGAGCCCTGCGCAGGGACTGGAGTCTACAGAAATACAACAAAACTTAAATAGCAACATCAACACTTCAACACTGCTCCAGTAGAGCCCGTCGCAGGGACTGGAGTCTACAGAAATACAACACAACTTAGCAACATCAACACTTCAACACTGCTCCAGTAGAGCCCTGCACAGGGACTGGAGTCTACAGAAATACAACACAACTTAGCAACATCAACACTTCAACACTGCTCCAGTAGAGCCCTGCGCAGGGACTGGAGTCTACAGAAATACAACAAAACTCAGCAATATCGACACTTCAACAATGCTCCAGTAGAGCCCTGCGCAGGGACTGGAGTCTACAGAAATACAACAAAACTCAGCAATATCAACACTTCAACAATGCTCCAGTAGAGCCCTGCGCAGGGACTGGAGTCTACAGAAATACAACAAAACTTAGCAATATCAACACTTCAACACTGCTCCAGTAGAGCCCTGCGCAGGGACTGGAGTCTACAGGAATACAGCAAAACTTAGCAACATCAACACTTCAACACTTTCTATCACATTGTCATGATAACAATTGTATCATGTCCTCTAAATTGACCAAAAGCAAAACTGCAACCAATTACTAATAATGTTAAATCATTCATTCATTCCTCAATCAGCTTTTGTGACAGATTGAGGAGCTTCAGTTGACACTTGCCTGTATCTGTCTACATCAGCCTCCCCTTCAGACTCCTCCCCCTCCTGCTGCAGACCAGTCCCCCCCAGATTGCCACTGGTAGCTGCACTGCTGGCCTCCAACACAGATCCATCCTGGATGGAGTCTCCAAATGTGCTGCTGCGTCCACTCACTAATCAGCAATGTACAAATGATCATGTAGTCATCATCATGTCAACACAGTTACGGACTACTCTCAAGCTGGCATCACATACAAGCAATAAGAGTAGAAGTACATGTATACAACACAATGTATTCTGTATCACCCGAGGTACCAGCCCAAATAAAATAGTAGCTCACCTTCTTTCCTCGTAGTTATTAACATTAAGTGATACCTCTAAGGAAACCTATTAGCTGATGTTGATGCAATGATCAACTTTGATCAGAGTTGACATACAGTCATGACATGTTTGAATCCTGGAACTTAAGCTTACTTAATATGAATCCATTGTCCAGATTTGATAAAAGTTTGATGGAAACCTGATTCATTGATATTATAAGTATCATCAGTACCTATGGCCATGTCTAAATGCCCTGATAAACTATATTTGTCATGCCTCAAGATAATCTGTTTTTTTCCTATCACTACCTATACCTGAAGATGGAAAAATAGATACAGGTCCAGGAGTACTTTGGCGCTGTTCCTACCGTTTTGCTCGCCTGTAATGGAGTCTGCTGCGCTCCCACTGCTCTCTGACTCCCCACTCCCAGCATGCTCTGCAGGAGAGGTCCGCAGCGTGGACCCGTCAGTCGCAGCTGTGCTGCCCTCATCATCGCTGGCTGCTGCTGCAGAAATAACACCGACATGTTACAAGTTAAGTCTTTACAAAGCTGGAACATAATTTCACATTTTAATACTATACTAGTTGCAGAAGGAAATTTGGGCTTCAGTTGGTAAAAATGAGAAATAGACTGTATAATAGCTCATATAATATACATGTACGTGCAGTCCTGTCAATATTCTGATTATCAGCAATGTGAGAAAGAGTAACATGTTGGATCTGCATGCAATCATCTTCATGAAAGTGACCACTGTTAATGCTGACCTGATGCTGTTGTGTCAGAAAGTGTTCCCGCCTCCAGTGAGGAGTGGCTCTGTCCTTGAGAGGCGTCCAAGGTCAGCCCCTGCAGCCCCAGGCCGCTGGAGTGACCTCGTTGGTCCTGTAGGCTCAGAGCGATGGCCAGCTCCACCATGGTCTCATCGTCCGCGTCAGGAGGGATGTCCAACATGGCGGGGAACTCTGCTCCATCTGCCAGCAGCGCCTCCAGGTGAGGGCCGCCGGAACTGCCGCTGTCTCCCACCAACTCACGGCCTTCCAGACTCAGCCCTTCTGCCTGATGTAATACAGAAACATTCAACCTGTATTTTTAATGTCTATGCCGATATCTGTGTCTGTATAGCTGGTATAAGCGCCTTTCAGAGTAACACACCAGCTTAATTCGGTATTCAGCATAATTGTGAGTAAACGAACATATGAGATCAGAGGACAAAGTACACATTGGAGTGTGGATGGTGAACTCTGTCACTTGTGGTATGAGGACTCCAACAGGTGTATTTCTAGGTGCAGTGGTGTACTCATGGTAGATTTGTGGCTGATGTTAATGAGTGTGTGAAGAAAGACATTAGAGAGCGCGGCCTTGCCAGTGTTGACCCACAGGATAGGGCTGCCTGGAGGAGCAGTGTGAAGACCAGTACTACTAGCCGACTGCTGCCGACCCCTGTGGCAGGGACAACAGCAGCAGTATAATCTAATCCTGGATAGTGAGTGAGTGAGTGAGTGAGTGAGTGAGTGAGTGAGTGAGTGAGTGAGTGAGTGAGTGAGTGAGTGAGTGAGTGAGTGAGTGAGTGAGTGAGTGAGAGTGAAGTTTACCTCATACTGTGGTTCTGCCCCAGGCGTGCTCCTGGCCTCCGTGTCCAGATGTTGTCCGGCGCCCGGCTGGTCCTGCGCCGGCTTGTCCTCCTCCTGCTCACCTCCAGCTGCTGCTGCCAGAGACGGGCCTCGCTGCCGAGGTCTCAGCACATGGATTAAAGCCTGCTTACACGAGAAACTCACCATCAGGTCCTGCAAACAAAACAGACAACTCCGTAAATAATTTCATCAGGTTGGTAAACGAATGAATAGCAAAGTTCTTTGATCACAACCATTTATTTTTCACGAGCCGACGTTTCGATGATCGTCTGTCATCTTCATCAGGGCGGTTCTGACTGGTTTACTGTGCACTGATGCACGCCTTTAGGGCACTATGCACCAAGTAACAACTAGCATCAGTGCACAGTAAACCAGTCAGAATCGCCCTGATGAAGATGACAGACGGTCATCGAAATGTCGGCTCATAAAAATAAATGGTTGTGATCAAAGAACTTTGCTATTCAAAACAGACAACTTCTCATCAGTTAGCTACACAGTAAATTCAACAAATACAAAAAATTGAATATGAATACTGTCTGACTTTTCATGATTTATGGCTTATCCATGCATCTAAATTACATGCATCAAATATGTAAATACAGAACGCTGCAGTTATGGAACCAAAACTTTTTTTCTTGTTGAGCATAAGAGCTACGATGTATCCACCACTCATGATTCATGACCATACAATCATGTACATGTAGCATGTAGATATCAAAACCAGTAGTTCTTCTGATGTCCAGCACACAAAATATCAAAACTATAGGTTCTTCTGCAGTACTGTGGAAAGGGGCCAGGAGGCCAAAATCTAATAATTTTGAGGTCTCATCATCCATACTGAATATCAAGACAATGTACCCCACATTAAGTATTTTCCAACTATTCTGTTCACAGCCAGGCAGACACAAAAACTGAAAAACATACTTACTGTTCTTGGCAAACATAATAATGTGTTGATTGCGTACAATAGGACAGCACCAGCAGTACTGTGCGTATCTGCACTAAGTCTTGTACCCACTCACATTTTACTTTCCAAAATACAGGCTGTACTGTTACTGAGTGTTCTTGGTTGACTGGGTTAGCAGGTACATGTACCTACTGTGAATGCTGATGACTGGATACTGACCTGTGCAAGTAACATCTGGACATACAGATGACATGCCAGCGGAACCAGATCAAGGTTACACAAGGTGCAGGCATGGATGATGTCCACCAGGGCTGCTACTATTACATCTACAGGGGTCAGACCTGAAAATAACACCATCAGAGGAACAATATTAATATATATTGTCATTAAAGAGCTGGTATGTTTCTACTTCAGGTCTTTTTTTTAACTTAGGCCACACCAATTTAATTTATTTGTTCTCACATTTTTTCAGAAAAAATATGTGACGGGGCAAAAAAATACAAATAAAAACAGGTCTAGGCATCCTATTATAGCTCCAAAATGCTACAATAGAAGCCATGAAGTCAACAAAAAGGCTGGGTTCAGTCAAACTTCTCCACATGGACTCAGCATTGTCTAACATGTAGCAGACATACCTGGTAGACCCAGAGGTGCCAGTGCTGGGTTGGCAGGTTTGATGCCATGAAGATGCCAGAAGACACGCTGCAACGTTTCCAGGAACGGATGTGAAATCTTCATTTGAGAAGGGGCCAAGTCTGCAACATTGTATGGAAAACCATTGTTGTCTATCAAGTTCAACATACTTTTATTATTAGATTAAAATCAAATCTTGATCTGATTCAAATCAACTAAAACTAGATGAGCCATTTGCTTGAACCCAGAATGTAGTTGATGATGATGATTATGTACCACAGTGGTGGGTGTAGTGGCTGAGAAATTGAGAGAAAGACTGCAAAGACTTCCAGGGTCAATATTTTTCTTGCTTAGAAACAGAATTTAAGGTGTCCTCCCCGGCTAATTTGGCACTTTAAACTTTTCATTGTTTTGTTTAGAAATTTAGAAAGAATAATATTGTAGTTGTACTGAATATTGATACCTGGGTACAAAAGGGATGCGAATATGATTTTATGGACCATATGGTTGACGTCATCATATTTTTATTGCCCCAAATGTAATTATCTTTAAAGCTATTAATACAGCACTTTGGTATAACTGCAATAAAAGTATGATTTTCATGTGTATATTGGTCAAAACGACAAACGTGCGTTTGCACAAATTGATATCTACTAATTACCTGTAGTTATTAGAGAAAAACCTAATAACCTAATTGAAAGCTAGTTATTCTCTAATAACTACGGGTAATTAGTAGAAGTAGATATCGATTTGTGCAAAAGATTAAACTTTAAAGATAATTACATTTGGGGCAATAAAATATGATGACGTCATCCATATGGTCCATAAAATCATATTCACAACCCTTTTGTACCCAGGTAGCAATATTCAGTTACAGCTACAGTTCTTTCTAAATTTCTTTATGACAAAATGATGAAAAGTTTAAAATGCCAAATTAGCCAGGGAGGACACCTTAACAGTTTCTGTAATACGTTACTGTACCTTCTGCTTGTTGTGTGTTGGGGAGAACAGCATATCTGCACAAGTTCTGTGGACGGGCCATGGCCACACTGTGAGCTGTCATCACTATGCGCTGGAATATCTCCACATCCATGTCCACATTCCCCTTGTAGTGAGCAGCCAAACCACCCACTACATGCAACAGCTGGGCCTGGTCCTACAAGGGAGATTCATACATGTAGTTATCAACTAGAGATGAAAAACATTGCATAACACATGTCGTTAATCAAAATATGCCAAAAGAGGCGTGATTGGCTGCATAACATCACACGGTAGGTGGACAAGAGTGCCCGGTTGCTGACTAACAGCCGATACATGTGTGAAGCAGAGTACGTTTATCTGTAACAGGTTTTCCACGGTATTTGCTGCATGCATCACAGCTGCATACAAGCTCAGGAAAAAAACGAAATGGGAAATAAAAACTCACGGGGACCCATGAGGGAGGGCGCAACTTATAAAGGGATTGTGGTAAAAGTAGAAAAATAAGCACGCAAACACTGACATAAACAATGATAGCTTATGAACAACTGGAACAGTAACAGAACGTCCTTAACTTGAAAGTGCATGCGATGTCACAAATTCAGTTTCACATGTAAAACAAGGAGTCTTTATCAAGCAGACATCAACTCAGTTTGCTGCTTTTAGATTTGCCGTGCTGAGTCTGATGGAGGTGTTTGAAATAGAACAGTGGATTTGATGCGTTCAATCTGGAATGGTCCATTGACTGCACATACTTAATGTGAAGCTCCAGCTGAATAGAGTTCCTGTTTCCCAAAGACTATGATCATGAAACTACATGTAAAATCATCATTAAATCTTTTGATAACTACTAGTAAGATTATTGTGCCTCTTAATATGTAACTATGTAGTATGTATATGCAAGTACTGCATGTAGATGACTGCTATGTGCATTGAACAAGCTCCATCATCACAACATCACCTCTCTAGTTAGCACCTGTGAAAGAAAACTTTGAAATCCAGACATAACACAGCCATCTGACCTAGAGAGATGATGTATTGTTGGGCAACTCCAGCCTATTATAACAACTTACTATAAGGGGGTCTGGGTAAATCTTTTAACATGGTCAGCCATTGACCAATCAAATACTACCCCAGGCCTCCTGCTGGAGGAAAGCTACCAGCCTATCACACTGCGTCTTGACTCTGGGCAGAAATGTGATTGGCTGGTGACTATTAAATAGAATGTCTGCTTCACACCACAACTGTCCTTATTAATAAACTTGAAGCCATTTTACCTTGTGCTCATAGTAGTCCACTTTGTTGGTATGCAGAGATGAGAGCAGAGCTTTGGCATGTTGTTGTACTGATACTGGCAGGGCTGGGTTCAACAGCTCCATGGTCATCTTCAAACAACCTTCCCGCTGACTTTCCTGAAATCATTTATTATGCAAAGTCATGAGCAACTTGGTACAGCGTAATGGATATGTGAATACTTTCATGACATTGATATGTCTTAAAGGCATCCGGTGCATTTTTTAGGGCTTGGAAACCCAATTTTCAAAGCCAATATTCTAGTCATTTATCTACTGGACATAATGAGTTGAAACCACACTATCTCAATGTACATGTATATTGACCCTCGTGGAGCAAAAATACCAAAAATTTTGACGGAAAATGGTTACTGGAAGGGCCTTGGGCTGATTTTTAGGGTACCACCCAGAAAATAAAGGACTCCTCTTGGGGCTTGTTTCTGCAGTTTTAAAACCCAAAGCATAAAATACAGATTGAAATTTGCTAATGTGAAGCAGTGTCAGCTTTAACAGTTACATGTAAGTCATCAAAGAAGCTACAAGAATGCTGTTCCACATGGGAGGGCTGTGTGTGTGTGTGTGTGTGTGTGTGTGTGTGTGTGTGTGTGTGTGTGTGTGTGTGTGTGTGTGTGTGTGTGTGTGTGTGTGTGTGTGTGTGTGTGTGTGTGTGTGTGTGTGTGTGTGTGTGTGTTTGTGTGTGTGTTTGTGTGTGTGTGTGTGTGTGTTTGTGTGTGTGTGTGTGTGTGTTTGTGTGTGTGTGTGTGTTTGTGTGTGTGCGTGTGTGGACACTGGTCTGGGGTCCTGTCTGAGGTACATGTGAGTAGCACTTTCCTTCAGATGTGATGAATACAGCAAAAAGGCTTTGGCAGGTAAGGAATGTGCTCACACATACATTATACATGTACTGGTGGACAGCCAGGATACAGAACCACTGCTTTGGGTTAGTTAAATCCATGCTGACATTGGTCAATTTACTCAAAAACATTAACACTCATTCCTTCCTCTTACATACTTTTACCACTTGAATGTGCAGTACTATATAATTATCATTATTTTAATTTTTGTGTACAAAATGCAAAGCAAGAGCAGGCAGCAATTCATTCAGTACAATTTGATTGTAAATTAAAATTGACTAACAGTTACTGGTCTTTTCTGCTATACTTAGCATTTATCATCACTAGTAGAGGGATAATTCTCTTTGAGTACTCTTAGTGGATAATTGAGAAAACAGCAGTTCTCCTTGGATTAGGCATTGTTCTCCCAAATTCTATCTCAGATCTCTTGCAGTCTCTTAAAGTCTCTTTCAAAATCGGTGTGAAAACTTGGTTACCATGTTGTTGTTTTTATGTCATTGTTTATATATAGGGTCAGACACTATTCCCCATTTATCTATTGTTCAAATTTAAAAACAACTGATGGTATCTGAGGGGGGTCCAACCTTAGGTGTCAAGAAGGAATCTACAGCAGTTCTCTTTGGAGTCTCTTCTAATGGTGACAGATCTCTTCCAGCTCTCTTTTAGTCTTGTCCTTTGTGATGAGATCTCAATTGTCCGCTAGAGTACTCAAAGAGATTTATCCCTCTACTAATTGGAAATGTGGTTTGCAATCTACAGCTGGCAACTTCAGAATCTCATGTCTGAAGGATGCAGACTTACCGTACTGTCAGGGAAGATGGCAAAACATCCTTCCAGCACTTCCAGGGCACTGGTGATCAGCCTGTGGACATGCCCAACAGTTCATGTCAGAAAAATCTTCACCAATATACAAACGGATAACCATGTATGGTCAGCAAATCTCAATCTGTAAGAACTGCACATGATAACAATGTACATGTCCGGTTAACTCACAAGAAGATCATAATACATCTGGTGCAGTTGAAACTGCTTTAACAGTTTTAACCCCGTGAGACTTGTCACGTGGCTTCTCTGTGTGACGTCAACACTGGGTCACGTGACAAGCCTCACTGGGTCAGTCTACTGACTCAGAGGAAGACCAGGGTGACCTGTCAAAATCTCTAGGTGAAATCATTTCTCCTTTGTAATGGGTTAAATGTTTTACAGATGAACTTTCATGATCATAGTATATTACATGCAAGTACATTGTACATTGTCTACTGTCAAGTAAGCCCAAAATGTGCATGGACATGTAGGTACAAGGGGTCTGTGTATGGACAGCACTAGTCCAAACTCATCTGACCAAAGGGCACCATTTCTACAAGTAGTGTTTCCTGACCTGTCTGTGGTTGACAGAGTTTCCTCAGACTGGACGGCGGCCTGTGGGTTTGGTGCAGACATGGCGGTCAGGTAATGACCAGTGGAAGATGATGGAAACTCCTCCAGTTCATCTGGCCAACCAAATGCCTCCTTACTTTTCCCATACACTTTGATGGAATCAACCATAGTGACTCCAGAGGGGTCCAGGGAAGCTCCAACTGAAAAACAACAACAATAACAAAATATGGTACCTGAAGCTGCCAATGTTAAAGTACGTCAGAAAGTCTCATTTTAAGTTAACTACTAAAATGAATTTAAAAAGTAGAGTGGAAGGTATTAACTTAAAAGGTAAAGCAGACATTGCCAACTGAGATGATTCAGAAGCAAAATACAAAATGTATGATGCATTTTCAAGCATTACTCAGTGACCTGTAGTAGTCCCTTCTCTCCAGAAGGAGGATTGCAGCACGTCTATTAAGTTAGTTCCCCTGGCTTGGTAGTGAAGGCCCCATAGCCGAGTCATTCTGAACCAGGCTAGAGGCCTGACCAGGTCTCCAGCTGTACAAGCCATACCCCACATGCTGACACAGCGTACTGATGAATGTAATTGCTGCTTCTTGCTTACACCAAACAAAACAGCCTATGTAGAATAGCCCATCCTGCATCGCCATGGCGATAACTCGATGACAGATATCAGCTACATTGTACTTACCAAAGAGTGTACAGGACCTGTCTGCCATCAGGGACTCTTCTCTGGTGAAGGGAAGGTCAAACCAGCGGTTGCGGGTCAGGGTGCACTGTGAACAATTAGAAACAATTTGCTATTGGGTAACTGTTGCCCTGATCTACCCATCAGACATCATTATGATCCAACACTCAAGAAGATGTATTTCCTGTCAATGCTGGGTAGGTTTTTGCACATGCACAAAATATACATGTTGAACTTGTGTATCAAAGAAGTTTGTTTTAGTTTGCTATGTGAGACTGCTGGCAGCTTCCTGCAATGTACGGTGAATATTTCCACGGAGATATTTAACCTCCTTGATATTTCTGGCACTATTGACATTGTGTCTCCACTGGAAGAAATCAGTTTTGTCTGCCAAACGTGCAAAGATTCTTAATCCATTGATTGAAAAGTAGCTACATGTACTTCAATGATATTACAAACATAGTAAAAGAGATTTCTGCAAGGCTTAGCCTAGTGGTAGGCTCCTTTTTGCACCAATAACATGTCATGATCTCACACTTTCATGACCGATGCCAAGTCATGTGACATACATGTTCATTTGTACAATGTAGATGTACATGTACAAACTGTACGTACTTTAAGAAATACACACAAGGAAGAAACAGAATGATCTCATAAGTAATACAACCCCTTGCATCAACACAAGCTTGTCAAAAACTTCTTTGCCACAAAGATGGCTAACATAATGCTTTAATGTCATTAGTAAGTGAAAAAAGTTACCGACCATCATTTTTTAAACAGACTCCTTCTTCTCGAATAGCAGACATGATAGACTATTAGACATGTACTGTAAGTCATTTAAGCCTCAGTCACAACCCGCCGTACGTGCATCTGCGTGCTGTCTACGTGCAAAAACCTGGGCACATGTAGGGGATCCGTAAGTGGTGAGTACCACCTCCGTACGGAATCCTACGGATTTGGGAGCACGCAGACATGCCGCAGAACTTTAAGTGCATGTAAAACTTTTTCTGCGTGCGGTCTGCGGATTCACCACCCGTACGTGTAAGTGCGGGCAATGCGCGTGCCCCGTTCCTTAAGAAGTTGCAATCGCACAGAGATCGTACGTTGTAAGCACGTACAACTCACCACTTGCGCAATGAACGATGCACGCAACCGATGCACGCAACCGCTCACGGCCAGACATGGCGTGCAGACCACACTATTGCACCTTGTGCAACCATGCGAGTGACACACGTTGACGCTATTCCTTCCCCACATTTTCAGAAAAACGTAGCAGACGTAGCCTTAAAAAAAAACGTACACTCAGACAAAAAGCACGAACAGCGGGTTGTGAGCGCGGCTTTAATCAAAAAGGCCCAGAGGAGCCCTGTTACAATGGGAATCTGTTTGTACCATCACCTGTATGGGTCTGCCAAATATCTCCAGGAAGGAGGGAGCTCGCTCCACAGACTGAGACCCCACATGGACCCGCAGACCTGTCATCACCAGGGTGGGGTTGGGGTTGATGATCTCAATGGAAAACCCGGATGGCTGCAGGAATGGAAGAGTTCCACATGTACAACATGACCGACAGGATGGCTACGTACATGTAGCCTCCTTCGCAGAGTTGTTGGGCGTCAGCGTTATTTTTTTCTGTAAGCGACGTGAGTAATATGCCGCGAAGGGACGATTTTGCTACCGAGGGAGTTTTTGCCGTGGAGAGGTTTCGCGCGAAACAAGTCTGCGAAGGAGGCCAATGTATGATCTTACTTAGCCCTGGACTTTGTGTACAATGTAACAGGCATGTATATTAGCTAGTATAGTTACTGTATCGTACTATTACAGAGAAGTCGGGTGGTTTATTGGAACAACCTTCAAACTATTTTGTGGTGTAACATTAAGAACATGACAATACCTTAGTGCTTGCCACAAACATCCCCGTGGTGTTGAGTCGGTGCTTCAGTTGTTGTAAGTTGTACACTTGAAGCAAGTCATTACCTCCAAACTGAAGAAACATCATGATAATGATGATCAATCCATATTATCATAATGGTATATAATATCACACAAAATCCCATCAGCATTCAACTTCTAGTAATTCCTCCTTTGAGACAAGTCATGTACAAATGTAAGACACCATTTATGAAAATGAGACAAAGTGTGAGCATGAGACTGTAATGCTGACAGTGATATCTTAGACTGGAGTTTGGAACAAAAAGTTTAAGAAAATGTATTATGTGAAATTTACAACCAACGTAGTTTCAAAGTACATGTATTATAAATAAACTGTCTCAATTCTAGAATGATCTTATTCCTAGCAGACCCCGATGAAAGGAACTTTATATCAATTTCCTCCCTTGATTCAGATACAGCTTGTGTACTTAGTGTACAAAACAGGTGTGTTACACCTTTTAAGGTACAACTTTACCAGACTGAGTATACAATATGTACACAAACAAAAGTTGACTTTGGAAGGAAAGTAAAGTGTTCTTCCTCATGGTTTTATGCATTAATTTTTAAAAGCATTTTACACATTGAGGTGGTTTACAACTTATATAAATGTAATACAAACAAAAATGCTACTTCATGTTCTACATTTATTGTACAATGTACAATTATAAAGTGAAAACTGCTGTACATCTGCACTGGTGTGTGTGAAGGCGTTCAGCACCAAGGACAGGTACAGTATAAAGTGGTAACTCTTCATGTACATGTATAGTGACCACTTTCACATCATTTATTTTAATACTTTACACTTTGATAACATTTTCTGTTGTCTGTCCTACCTCCACATCTGTCATGGACTGTTGGTGTTCAAAAAAGTCGACAGGGAAGGTAACCTGGGAAGATGGCCGTCCTGAAATGTACATAAAACAAGGTTTGTTAGCTTGGGCAAAAACTGTACTACAATAATAGCCTAATATATACAGTAACAACCTTGGGATGTTTTGTGGGGAACCTCTCAGATTTTGAGACTTTCAGGCTACCACCTTCTTGTGCATTATAGTTATTTTACATGCACATTAGTGTGTCTACATGCACCTAACCTGGGAAAGACAATAACTCAAAGTTACCAGTTTTGGGTGGTTTCCTCTGACTGACCGGTCGAACCCCACCACACACACTGACAGACTGGAAGGCAGACTGCATCCAGTAACTGGTGGAGTCCACGTTGGCCATGTAAATCTTCAGACTGCCGTCTTCACACAGCAGGATCAGTGTCGTGCGCTGGTTGTCAGAGCTGGCGGACGCGTGCCGGATGGCAACCATGTCCTGGATCTGGGCACAGCAGGGATTTAACTGTCATACAAGTCATGTACAAGAAATGTCATGTATAGTACTACATGTATCATCATATAGGAACAAAAAATTATTTGATGTCCACCTAATGCTTTTATTACTTTCCGGCTCTCCTGCACTATAAAAACTGCAGTCCAGTCACATGACTCCTGTTCTTCCCTGCTGAGTTTTTCAGGCACATTGAAACTTCAGGAAACAATCCCTTTGTCATCAAAATGGAAATTTTGGCACTAACATCTGTGTCCATAATATCACCAGGGTCCATAATATCGCCACCTTGAGAAATAGTGTGCTTTAAGATATTTTTACTGCAACATACCCTAGGTATGTACATTTGATGTGTGAAGGAGTGCATACCATAAGTATGTTGCAGTAAAAATATCTTTAAGCACCCTGTTTCTCAAGGTGGCGATATTATGGGCCCTGGTGATATTATGGACACAGATGTTACATGTACAACATGCATTAGACAATAAGTGTAAAACTATCCATCCTTACATCAAAATCATACTTTCAGAATGACATTAGCCAAAGTCTTGACAGTGGTCAGAAGACACAAAAAAGGTAATAAATTTAAAGAAAAATGATTTATGAATCTGGTATATCAGTAAACTCCTGGCATACAATTTAGTAATCAAAGTTAAATATACTGAGTGACCCCCCCCCCTCCAATCAGTTGTACTGTACATTCATGACATTTAAAACACAAACCTTGGATTTTGCAGGAACAGTTTTGATTTCTTGAACCAGGATGGAGTCTGGTTTGACCATGATAACCACAGGAGTGCCGGCAGTCTGAGTCAGACAGCAGATGAGTCCAGGATGGTTCAACACTTCACTCCACTGACACAGAGAGGGACTGCTGCCTTTCCCTGCACCATTGGAGCTACAGGCAGGGAAAACAAGGATCAAATGACATCATTGACTTATAGATATTGATGTCTTGGAAATTAATGCCAACCTCCAGTTGGCATTGGCTTTCTTTGTTGTTGTTGTGTTTGAATGTTTATTTTTTCAGAAAAGCAATTCTAGACAAGCAGAACTTTTACTTGGAACACAACACCCAGCATATCTACATGCCATGATGCTATTCCAGATGATTATACATATACATGTATATAGCCTGGGGTCCATCTGATTAGCTACCTGACTCCTTACACTCGCTGACCTAAAAAAATTGCCGGTAGACGGTTTCATTATTATTAATAGTTTTGGGCTATAATGAGAATATATTCCCGTCATATTTGGGACAGGCACACTGATTGGTCCCATAGGGACAGAATTTTCTGAATAGACAGATTATTATTATTATTATTACAATGTGTCATATTTTGACTGCTTCATCCCCATGTCACTGTTCTCACAATTTCAGATAAGTTGCTGAATTTGGTATAATACATATTTATAATATCCTAAATATTACAAGCCTGCAGCTGGGTGCTTTCTGATTTTTCTACGTGGCTATTTATGCTCATTCTGTTGAAATCGGCTGGAACATATACAGGCTAAAACATTACATTACTTAAAAGTATAACAGCAAGTCCAGTATTACATGATTGCCCCTATACTAACCTTCGCAGTGTCACTGGGAAGACAGGACTCAGATCAGTCACAATTTTCTTCAGGGGAGAAATGAAGTTTTTCCCTGCAGACACAAAGTACATTCAATGGGGAACTTTGTGAGTGACCCGGACATACAATTCCCTCTTGTATATGACAAGCCAAATATCATTACCATCCATCCACACCTTCATTTACACACACACACACACACACACACACACACACACACACACACACACACACACACACACACACACACACACACACACACACACACACACACACACACACACACACACACACACACACACACACACACACATGCACACACACACACAATGCACACGCAAACACAAACCAAACACACACACACACACACAGACACACACACACACACACACACACACACATACACACACACACACACACACACACACACAGG